GACTGCCGCTTGGCGAAAGCGCGCCACGTGCCAGTGAATATTGGCCCCAGCGTGACTCGGAGTCGTCTCGTCACCTCGCCGGGTCTCTCCCCGGGGAGATCCCACTGGATGTTGTTGAATTTTGTTTTGTACAGCTGCTGTCCCGTGTCGGGTTCTTGGGCTCTGGCCATTGGCGCGGGTCAGGCCATTCGTGCTGCCGTGTTTCCTGGCCGCAAGTATCCAGCGTGCCGGCCTCGTTGTCCTGGACGGAGGGCCATCGATCTGCGCGCGACAGTTCCGGCTGCACGCCTGACGGGGTTCTGCGGGGAGCAGGCCGCACTGTTGGCCGCCAGGCGGGGGTCGGATCGCATCCGGCAGCCAGGGCGGACGCTGCCCTGCGGCACGCGGGGAGAGGCCCCTCTCGCTGGCGTTCGCCTCCGGGCCCGCTCCCAGGCGCGCCCCCTTCGGTCAGCGCAGGACTCTCTCCTGTCTCCGGGGCGCAGCCGGTCGTGCCAGGCGCGCGCGCGCGCGGCGACGCAGCTTCCATTTCCGGAGCACGAGGTTCTTTGCCAGTCGCGCCATGGATTTCTGGGGAGGGCGCCTGGGGTTCGCCGCCCATAAGAATGGGTTCATTGACAGGGGAAGGGGGGCGAATGGGCGCGAAGGGGTTTCTCCCGACGAGCCAGCGGATGGCTTCGCTGTCCTGTGTCTGGACGTTGCTGGGTCTGTGGCGCCCCAAGAGGACTGCTGACGGTCTGATTGTTCTGAGGGGGGGGGCACGGGGTGGCAGGCGAGCCCCTGCTGTCCCGGGATCACGCTTAGCTGACCGTTGCGGCTACCGTCAGCACTTTCGGAGGCCACCCCCTGTCCGCCCGGTTCTAGTCCAGAGACACGAGTGACGGCTTGTGCCACTTCCGCACCTTCCGAGGCTTCCGTCGCTTCGGGCCCCCGATACCCCGCGGCCTCCGCAGCCTCCGCCGACTCCGCCGTGACCTCCCTCTCCTTTTCTCTGCCCTGCTGCTGCTGCTGGGGGAGCACGGTACCTCTGCGTCTTCTCGTGGGTTCTTCTTGTGGTCGCTGGGTGGCTCTTGTTGCTGCTGCGGGGGGTCCCGCGGCTGCATCTGCGGGGCTCTGTTGCTGCTGCGGCTGCAGCTGCTGCTGCAGTGGCTGCTGCGGCTGCTGCCCTGCTGTTGCTGCTGCTGCAGCTGCTGGGGTTTGTTGCTGCTGCTGCTGCTGCTGCGGCTGTTGCTGCTGCTGCTGCCCTGCTGCTGCGGCTGCTGCCGGTGCTGTTGTTACTGCGGCTGCAGCTGCCGCCGCGGGGGGTCGCCGAGGGCCGCGGCGGCGGCCGCCGCAGCTGCTGCGCCAGCGGCCGCGCCGCCGGCGGCCGTGGGGACGGCCGCGGCGGCGCAGGCCGCGGGCACCGCCCCAGCGCACCAGGGCCCAGGGCGCGGCCGGCGCCGCAGTCGCCACCGGCCGGCAGCGGCAGCCGGCCGCCGCAGCCACGGCGCCGCTGCCGGCCGCCCCGGCGGCCAGGCCCAGCGGCGCGGAACAGTGCCGCACGGCCTCCCAGGGCCCGCGGCGGCCGGGCCTCGCCGCTGCGGCGGGCGGCGGCCGCAGGGCGGCCGCCCGGCGGCCGCCGCAGCCTGCACCAGCTAACGCGCGCCAGGTACGCCAAAGGCGCCAGCGGCCGCCGCAGCGCCTGCGGCGCCGGCGGCGGCCACGGCCCGGCGGCACCGCCGGCGACCGCGGGGCGACAGCAGCCGCGGCCAAGGCGCCACGCGGCGTCCGCGGCGGCCCGGCAGCCGAGGCCGGCACCGCGCTCGCGCGTACGCGCGCAGCGGCCACGGCTGAGGCAGCGGCCACGTCGGCGCCCGCGGCGCAGGTCGGCGCCCACGGCGGGGGGCGCCCAAGCGCCAACAGCTGCGCCCGCAACCGCCGCAGCCGCAAACCCCCGCGGCGGCGGCAGCGCGGGCGGCGGCAGCGCGGGCGGCGACCGCGGAGGCGGCGCCAGCCGGCGAGGCGGCAGCGCCGGCGGGCGAGGCGGCGGCGCCACCCAGCGGCGGCCGCGGCGGCAGCGCCAGGCGGCCAGCGCGAGGGGGCGCCAGGGCAGGGGGCGCCGCAGCACCAGCGGCGCCAGCGGAGTCCAGTGCCTCTTGTGGAAGCGGAGAAACCTCGTTCCGTCGAGCTGCCGCCGCCACACTTTGCCGGCGGCGTCGGGCCGATGGGGTCTCCCACCATCCTCCGTCAAATGAAGTCCACCGTTAACCTGGGCTCTGCAGCGGCTCCGCCTTCCTGGCGGCGCCCCAGCTTGCAGGCCTATCGTCCATCCATCGATGCGTTCGTAACGGCGCCGCCTGCGCACCAGCATCCTGGGAAGTGGAATGCCATCTCCAAGCACTCACCTCCTCCGTACGCGCCTGGCTTCCTCCGCATCGATTTCCACCTCGTTGAGGCGCGTGCGAACAGCTCGCAGGAGCAGCTCCAGGTGCCGCTGGAAGCTGCGGAGCTCCTCGACGAGGCCGACCCGCCCAATCCACTCGAGCATTCGAGTGACCCATTGCGGCAAGGGGGCTGGTGCGGGAAGATTCGGGTTCGCAGCGTCGGCGGCCACGCGAAGAGCTGAGCGGATGCCGCGCCTCTTCGGCATGAAAGGCGCAGAGGCCAACCCCAGAGCGGTGACGCGTCCGGGGCCCCAGAGCGGTGACGCGTCCGGGTTCGCAAGCACGGAGCGGGAACGCGTCCGAGTAACAACCGCGGCAGCCGCGGCTGGGCGGGGCCGCGCGGCGCCGCCGTCGCAGGATGCTGGTTCCTGGGCTCGAACCAGAGCGGCTTGAGCCAAGGGGGCTTGAGCCAAGGCTACGGACGCTGGTGGGGATATGCGACGTGCCAATAGTTACACATCGGTCGGAAGAAGCAGGTAGAAACATGAAGGTAGGAAGGCGTTGAAAATAGATTGGATGTCCGCCCACCCCCTAAGGATGACGGAAACGGTGAAGCCACTCGATAACTGAAGTAGGAAGGCGTTCAAAGTAGATTGGAACCGGGGAATCCAAACATATCTCTGGGAGGCCAACGAGCAAAAGCGTGATCCACGAGCCCCAGCCCAAGGATTAGGTCGGGCATGTCCTCCTACAGGCAGATGTTGGACGACAAGCTAAAGTAACGAATACAAAAAGTCACACAATATTCAAACAAACAAAAATAGTGAGAAATAAAAACGTCTCCCGACTATTGTTTGCTTATTTGGGAAGATTCCCCCTGTAGAGCGAAGAGGGAAATGCCCGACTTAGCCCCAGGATCCACTCGGCATCGCATCGAGACACCGCCCCGAATCAAAACCGTGCGACGCATCGGGTCACGCCGGCACCGAGCCGAGATCAGAATCGGGAATCGGCCGCGCCAAATGACGCACCACGGTGCCAGGCTCTCCAGCACCGGGCCACACCACATCTCCCGAGTAAACCAGGTCCCGATCGGATCTCGGAGCGCCCGGAGCAGGAACGTCGAGCCGACGTAGAATCGGATCGGAACCGGTACCGCGAGCGTCGGCCCCCGGGGCCCAGGGGTCGGCCCGACCGGCTCGGATCGGAGCGGGGGTGGTGAACGTCAGTCGAAGAGGAAGGAGGAAAAGGGTGTGGAGGAGATTTCAAGGGCGGCGAGCGCTTCGATCGACGCCCGTGCAACGTACAGGGCAGAGGAGGCTTGTAAGGAGGGGGAGGAGGAGGAAAGTGAGGATCAGGGAAGTGAAATTACGGAGTTACGGATGATGCGACCACCATGTCGGCTGCTATTTGAGATCCTGTGCAGAGCGCTGCTTTGATGTGAAGTTTGGAAAGTAGACCCTGCTCGATACGAAGTGAGTAATCCTTACGATTGCCATCCACCACGTGACGGCACTTCTCAGACAACTTGACCAACTGCTGGGCGCGGCAACATACCCGCCTGAGGCAGAGACCCAGACGTTCAGCCCAGCGTGATGCTCGAGTGAATGGGCCTCAGGAGCCCACCCCACAGAGATGCGCAGCTGCTGCCCTGGAGGGGGCTCGCAAACGACGCCGTCCCCACACCTTGAAGCGAAACGTGGAGCGTTCAGCCACCCCCTCTCCTGGGGCGATGGCGGCTGGCCCCTTGCACCTCTCGAAAGAAGGACCGCCCGCATTGAGGACATGTTTCAAGACGCTGCAGAGCATGGGAGATAGAGGGCCAGGGCGTGAAGATCGTGTGCGAAGAACACATCCGTATCCGCGGCCTCGCGGGCCGGGCCCCTGGGCCCGACCCCGCGGACACGAGACATGCTCTGTTTCGCGGATGCCTCGCGCGGCATGCACCCGTTCAACCGCGCATCCGCAGGATCGCGCCCCAGGATCCGGACCGCGAGGGCGCGGACCCGGAGTATGCCCGCCGCTCGTGACGGGACGAACGAACGAACCACCACAGCTGACAGCTGCTCGGGCCTGCCACGGCCGAGCGGGCGAGGCCACGAGGAGGGGCGAAGAGGCCTCGGGCGGAGCACGATCGAGGAGGGGCGAAGAGACCACAGGAGGAGCACGAGGAGGGGCGAGGAGGAGGAGCCAGGCGGGGAGGGAGCACAGAGGCGGGCGAGGAGGGAGCACCAGGGGGGGGGGGGGGGGGCGAGGCGGAGCACGAGGGCGGCGATGCGCCACGAGGCGCGGAGGGCCCGCGCGCGACGGGCAGGGGCACGAGGAGCGGCGGGGAGGGCAGCGGAGGCCCGGGGGGGGCGCTCGCCCCAAGGGGCGCGGGCGCGGGTGGCACGCCGCCCGACGCGCCCTCTCCGCCCTCCACCGCTGGGAGTGGGTCGGGCATGTCCCCCCTCCAGGGGGATCTTGGACGAAGAATAACAAAAGTGCCCAACCAAAAAAGCTCAAAGATGGACGAGAACGATACTCGGACACTCTTCCCCACACGATGTGCTGACTCGGTTTGAGTCTTCCCCCTGCAGAGGGACAGGCCCGGCCTAACACCGGGGCGAGGGTGCGCGGCCCTCGCGGGGCGCGGCTGCTCTACAGGAGGCTGCACCACGACTGCGCCTCGCGAGCGGGCAGGCGCGGCACACGCCACCGCCGCCCCGATTCGGGGGCTGGAGGGGAGGAGGGGAGGAGGGGAGGAGGGGAGGAGGGGAGGAGGGGAGGAGGAGGAGGAGGAGGAGGAGGAGGAGGAGGAGGAGGAGGAGGAGGAGGGGGAGGAAGGTGCCCTTGGCGCAAGGTGCCCCCAGCTTTCCTCACTCCATGTTGGAGCCCTTCGGGCCCACTGGGGCCTGGAAATCCCGGGGGGGGGCACCCTGGGCCGGGGGCACTTGCAGCAACGCCCGACCGACTGGTCTTGCCATCGCGGCGTGTGAAAGCGACGTCCAAGATTGGGTCGGGCATGTCCTCCTACAGGCGGATGTTGGACGAAAGCTAAAAAACAGTCAACCAAATCAGCCAAAATAATCAGAAAATGCCGGAAAAATCGCCCCCGTAGCATGTTTTGCTTATTTGGGGCACTCTCCTCCTGTAGAGGGACAAGCCCGACTCAAGTGCAAGACGCGGGGCGTCCACGGGGGGGGGTCCGCAGAGCATGGCCCGAGGCACGTGCGCGGCCCCGGGGGAGGGGAGGGTGCCAAGAGACGCGTCGAGAGAAGAAGAGGGGGGTCGTGAGATCTGGGGAGACCTCGTGGGACGCGACGGAAGAAGAAGATCGTGGGGATGGACAGAACCCCCTTTGGTGAAACGTGGTTCAGTGAAACCGACCTCGGGTCCAAACCTGGCCGGCGCAAGCCTGGAAAATGACAGCCGCGGCGCCCCCTCGAGAGCCAAAAACGGACAATTCACATGTCGACGTGTCAGGGTGGGGGTTCTGTCCCAACCCGACAGTCCTCACACCCTCTTGGACGCCCCGGGCTTTTCCTTCGTTTCGGCCTCCAGCGGCTGCAAGACAGGACCCAGGAAAACTGACCCCGGGGGAGAAGGTCGGGACCTCTGCGGTCGCGGATCGAAAAAAAGCGGGGGATGCCCGGGTCCCCCTCCCCGGGAGAACATGTTGTTACGCCGCTCGGACTTCCGCCACGGAAACGCAGCGTCTGAGCGACCATGCTGTTTCACAAGAAGAGCAGCACGCGCGTGACCAGGATAAAGTGTCAAGGGCAACGTGTGCTCAGCAGAAGTGTGCAGAAGGGCAGAAGAGAGGTGGGAGAGTGGAGTAGCCCGCAAGGTCATAGAGCTTGGCACACAGGCAAGGCTCCTCACACGCCTCGAGAAGATCCTCCTGCTCCTCCGCCTCCTCGTCCTCCTCCGAGGCGGACACTAGGGGAGACTGGCTCAAGGGGGGAAATGTTGAGCTGGAATCGGCGATGCATCGCCAATGAATCAGCAAGCCCTTTGGTCTTCCACTGTGGAGTTTCACCTAGGCCAGAGGGTATTGCCCAAACTGAGCCGGTGCGCTCATGGCCAATGCGCGATGCCTTCAGATGCGAACAGTGTTCACCCTTCGCATGACCTCTCAGTTGCACTGCCTTTCATGCCTCCGGATTTCACGATTATTTGGCTGGTCCTCCTCATAGCCATCCCCCAGCAGGCGGACACGGTCAAAAGGGGGTGTGGAGGCTCGCCACATACTCCGCACTGAGCACTTCGAAATCGTGGCGGTATCCATTATCCCCCGCTTTGGAGCGTGGCATCCCTGGTCACCAGACCACGTTCCCCCACGGGCTCTGGCGTTGAAGGCCCGCTTGTGCCCTGAGGGTACACTTTAACACACCTCAGGAGCACCCTGATTATGGACACGGAATGATGAGCGAAGTACCCGCCCTCATACCTGTAAGGGGTCCTGACCCGCGCTCCGCAATTTGAGGGCGCGCTATAGGCATGGGGGCACGGGTGCGGTCTGTCAGGCCCCGACGGTGGCTCCGATGCGGGCGGGGACCCCATCCGAGAACACGCACCCAAAGCCCCCCCCCAGAACTCAAACCCAGGCATGCCCGAGACCGTATGAGTATGGGTGCTAAGAGGCTATGAAGTTGTGAGCTCATGAGGATGGACATCCTGCGCGGGGCGGGCGCCAAGGAGGCAGAGAGGAACGAGAGATGGCGAGAGGGAGAAAAGGAGTGAGAGGAAGATGAGGAGGAGGGGGAGGACAGGGAGAAGATGAGGAGGAGAAGGAGAGGGAGAAAAGGAGGGGGAGGAGGAGCAGGAGGAAGAGAAGGAAGAGGAGGAGGAACACGAGGAGAAGGAGGAGGAAAGGAGGAGGAGGATAGGGAGAAGAGGAGGAGGAGGAGGAGGAGGGGAAGAGAAGAGGAGGAGAGGGAGAAGAAGAGGAGGAGAGGGAGAAGAGGAGAAAAGGAGGAGTCAGAGGAGGAGGACATGGAGGAGGAGGAATGGAGGAGAGGAGGAGGAGGAGAGGGAGGGGGAGGAAGAGAAGGAGGAGGTGGGGAAGAACAGAAGGATGGGCAGCGGGCAGGCGAACGCGGAGAGGAGGGGTAAGGGGGCAGGATGGGGCGGGGGCATCAGGGGCGAGCAAGAGGAGGACGAGGAGGATGAGGAGGTTCAGTATGAGCAGGAGTCGGAGGTGGAGGAGGAGGAGGAGGAGGAGGAGGAGGAGGAGACGCAGGAGAAGGAGGAGGAGGAGAATGAGGAGGAGGAGGAGGAGGGGGAGGAGGAGGAGTGTGGCTCCGTTCGGCGAAACGCCATCAGCTTTTTCAGCAATCAGGAGGACGAGCGACACAGGTTTGCACCTAGAGCCAGCTCGGCGCAAACGAGGAGGAGGAGGACGAAGGGACTGACGCTACAGATGCTTGTCCGCCGAACAGCTTGCCCAGATGCAAGTCCCAGGGGGGGGCAAGGGTGGGGCTGGCAGTCCAGGCGAGGCGATCTGAAGGCAGACGTCTAAATCCATGCTGGCGGCGCGCATGCCTTGGCAAGCAGCATACCGCGAGATTGGGAGCTGCTTGGGCAACGCTTCCCCCATCGCAATGCGTTGACTTCCTCAACTGTTAAATCATGTTCATGCTGTTTTGGCGAGGCTCTCGCTAGGTAATCTGACATCAGATGCGGGACCGTCCCATTCCCTATGTTTCCCCAGGTCCCGTCGCCGTCTTTGTTCCCGTGTCCAGTTCTGGTTCCAATCCTGCAATAAATATTTGTCCTCGTCGCGTCGGGGATCCGTTCTCCCCTCTTCCCGTGCTCCAGAGACAATTTAACAACAGCCCTGCAAGAACCTTCAACAGGGGAGCGATGACGCCCACGGACGCGCCCGAGGGCACTCCGAAAAGAGCAGGGAAACGGGGAGCAGGGAGAGTGGCTGAGTGGCACCGAGGGAGGACCAGCTCGGGAGGGCAACCATCGAGCTCGAGCCGGCGATACACCTCCTACGGATCTGCGGAGATGGCGATGGTGATAAGGATGTGTTCAACTGCACCGCCGAAAGCTCGATACGAACAGTCGTGACAAAAAGGAGCTGCTGGCCGCCCAGCACTCGCCTGCCCCAGCCTCGTGTGATGGGCCTGTTTTCCACCACCACCACCATACGTTAGAGGGGGAAAGGAGGAGGAGGAGGAGGAGGAGGGCGAGGAGGAGGTTGACGAGGAGGAGGAGGAGGAGGAGGGGAGGAGGAGGAGGAGGAGGAGGAGTAGGGGGAGGAGGAGGAGGAGGACCCCCTCCCCCTCCAACTTATGGTGGTGGTGGTGGAAAGCAGGCCCATCATCGTGAACTCGCTGGTGGAGCCTCCCATTGGCCAGCAGCCAGCCCGAGCCAGCCAGCGCCCCCGACAGCGAGACCGCACACGACCCTGGGCGGGCTGCGCCAGGGGCTGGGCCCATGCGGCCCCATATCGGCGATCAAAGGGCGACTGGCGTCAGTAGGGGGAAAACAAACCTGCCTCGCTTTTGACCACCCTCGCTTCCAATAGAGGGAAAAGAACTATGCACATGCACCGATTCTGGCCAGGCCCATCCTGAGCCCAGGATCGGTGCATACGCCCTCCTACCTTGGCCAGGAAGGCATATGCACCGATCCTGGGTCAAGGATGGGCCTTGCCAGGATCGGTGCATGTGCATAGTTCTCTTCGCCCGAAAACAAACCTACCTCGCTTTTGACCACCCTCGCTTCCAAGAGACACCAAACGATGCCAAAGTGCAGCCTGTGCTGGTCAAGGCGCCTGACGAGGAGGCGCGCGGTATGGCTTGGTTTTGCCTGGAAGCGGAAGCGGGGTAGGTAGTTCACGCTCCGAGTTAGGTCGGGCCTGTCCCCCATACCGGAGAAATCTTCAAAAACAGCTTCAAACACAAAAAATAGTCTGGGGACGATGTTTTGCTTTGACTGTGTTTGATCATTTGCGGGGTGTTTTTTTACCATTCCTGTATGTTTCCTTCCAATTGCCGACATGCCGACATGCCGACATGCCCGACCTAAAACTGGCGGCCGCTGCACCCCCTGGGAGCCCCTATCCCCCTCCACCCTGACGCTGCTCTGCGCTCGGGGATTTTCTGACCCGGGTCAATCCAGGCCCGGGTCAGTCAGGCCTTGCAGAACCCTGCAAGATCCTGCGCCCAAACCTGGGTCAATGCCAAGGATCCTGCAGGATCCTGCGCCCAAACCCGGGTCAGTGCGACCATGGCCCTGCAGGATCCTGCAAGATCGGGCGCTCTGGCTGACCCCCGCTTGCATTGACCCCCGTCTCAAGGCTCCCGATGCGCTCGGTGACAACCGCTGCCGGCGCGCGCGCCTGGAGGCCGGCCACCCCCGAGAGCCGAGCACGCCACGAGGTCGGTGCAGCGAAGTCTCCGCTGGCCTTCGGGACATCACTGTCGGGTCTTCGGCGGCCCATGCGGAGCGTTCTGGGCAGCAGCGGAACGCTCTCGGCGAGGCACGGCTGCTGCAACGCACCCGGAGGCTGGACAAAAACGCCGACTGCTGACGAGAGCGTCCTGGAACCTCGAACCTCGGTGTGACAACGGAGACATCGGTGCCGACAAGCCGCGCACCGAAGGTCACACGGTCACTCCGACGTATAAAGAGGAGCTCGAAAAGTTGGCAGTGGAAGTTGGAAATTCCAT